CTGTGTATTTTGTCGATATATACATATATATATATATATATATATATATATGTATCAATCATTAATGCAACTGATTTGAAGACAACAGAAGGGGATGATGTCTCAAGCTGCGGTAGCTCAACCAGATGAGTCAGTGATGAGCATTTAAATAATCTTCTATCATATTCTGTATTCACTTTCACACACCCCTCTTTGTGTTTGCGCACGATTTGTTTACCTTTCTCTGCGTGTAGGGATAATAATTCACCGCCTACCGCGCTGAAGGCACGTAAAGGATCATCAACATCTTTAAGTATATCACTAATCACACTTATATGCATATTCATGCGTAAATAAACTAATGGATACATATATGAATCCATCTATAAATGTATTTATGTATAAACAAATGCATACCGCCATCGATTGAGAAAGCACTTTTTCATGTAAGAGAAGAGAGGGTTCTCCTTCTTCTGAAACCCACTGAATGCCCTTGTGGCAGTGATTTCATGAAGTGCACAGCGGGAAGAGCGTTTCCCTCCTTCCTTTCTTTACATCCCTTTTGGAGCGGTATATAGAGTTCAACTCTGGCGGGATTGACTGGGCACCGTCCTGAAGGCAATGAGTTCGTATTTTCCTATTTTCATAATTTTATTCTGCAGCGTGAACTTATCGTACTACAAAAGCTTTTAATGAATTTCTATGGATTCCTGTAGCATCTTATCGTCTTTAGTTGCTTTATATTATTCTGGCAATTATTACAATTTAAAATAATTAATGAAATTCAGAAACTATCATACAACAAGGCAATATTCGCCTGTCTAGTACTTATCAGATGGCAAGTTTTTAGCGAGATATATCACATGAACTGTATTATGCCCTGAAGGGGGCAAGAATCCCGAAGTGTATTTCTTTCTCTTGGAACCTTTTTTTTTGATCTTTTCAAATCTGTTTGATATTTTGACTCCTCTTTCGATCGTAGAATCTCTTCTTCACGCTTTCCCCCTCCTTTTTTTAATTTTTTACAGTGACGTGCATCATAGGCATCGAATGTGTAGTTAAATAAAATACGTAGAGCTTTTTAAAAAAAATTATTACAACGTCGACGAAGGCAAGAAGGGGAACACTTTCATGAAAGCGAGTACATGTCGGCTTCGACGTTTGATACTTGGCATGAGTATCGAGGACGCGAAGAGCAAGTTTGATTCGCCCGACTCTCGAACCTTTCTCCGTCTCGCGCATGAGCGACATAACCAGGGGATCCTCCATGAACTCCACCTCGCGCAGCGCCTGCGTAACCGGCTCTCTTCCGATCAAAAATGCCACATCCGACGATTCACGAAACCCACCGTGGCGGGCTTTCAGGCCTACGCGAAACGCTCCCCTGAGGATTACGTCGTCGTCGAGCTTTGGGATTCGGATGAGACGACCCCGCCGAAGGGAGAAAACGACCTCGCTAAGGTTCCCGATCGCGTTTCGTCCCTTTCCCTCGGTGACGAAAGCCTCGCGCGGGAGAAGAAGGCCTTTGCGATTCAAAAAGATCGCGTTCTCTCGACGTTGGCAGGGGTGTTGGCGAAGCTGCGTGGGGAGGTTGTGGCGGAGTTGACGGGGCGTCGTCAGAGCAGCGCCCTTCTCACGGCGGAAGGGGAGTCGTTGGTGGATCGTCTTCTCGCGGAATCTTCCGGAAAGCGGTGTAAAAGCCTCTCCTCCTCTACCCACCTTCTCGATCCCGTCGAGGTCGCCGCCGGGATTTGTGGAAAGCGGGATAAATTGATTTTAGACGCCTTTCACGACCCCCTGCTTGGATTTCCCGCGCGGGAAGGGGGGATCTCGTATTCTTTGTGGGTCGCTGGCGGGCTCATCAGGGATGACGGCCTAATCGCGGAGTTTCCGTATCACATCGCGAAGTATATCGTATTGGAAGACGGCGGAGGAGGCGATGGGGGCTCGCATCGCCCGCCTCGGGTGGAGGTGGAGGTCTACTTCTCCCCGGAGCTCTTCCAGCTGGAGAAGGCGATCGGCAAGCCCGGGATCGCGTCGCTTCGTCAATTTATTGGGAAGGTGATGATGAAGCAGCACGAACCCACGCCGATTTCCACATCCTTGTTGCTAAACGCCCCGCAAAGCGAGTGGGGTTCGTACAACCTCTACTCCCCAAAGGAGGTCGAGGCGGTTCAGATCCCGTGGGCGCACCACATCCGCGCGAAGGTTTCCACCATCACCGGGGTGGTTTTAAACCTGGAGGAGGATCAAGAAGCGGTGCGGGTGGAGAAGAAAAAAGAGGCGATCGCCTTGGTGTGGAAGGCATGGGGCCACCTCATTAAGGATCTCCACGTCCATGGCGATCGCGACTTCCTCTACGTCTCCATCGATCGCGAAAAGGAAAAAAAAGAGAATGACGAGTACATTTCGGAGTTGAAATCGCTCGAGCAATCGGACGTGGAGGGGGTTCCGGCGCGGGCGGGGCCGAATGGCGCCCTCGAGCCCGCCAAACCGCACGCGAAGAAAGACCCTCGACGAATGGAACGGCGGCATCGCCGTTACGTTCCGCTTGCCGCCGATTTCGTCGTGGTGGAGTGCCGGTTAGAGCGAAAAGGCCTCCCTTTTAGCGTCGTCGTCGAGGATATCACGGCGACCTTGACGGAGATGCAGACCGAGGCGCTGGAGATGCAGCGGTTGGCGTTTCGCCACGAGGTGGAAGGGGAGGGCCTCGAGGGCGGCTCGCTCGAGTTCATTCCCGTCTTGTACGCGCCGAAGGTGGTGGTGTCGAATGCCGGGATCATCGAGGACGGCACGCACAGCTATCAGCGCCTGCGCATTCGCGGGAGTTGCCTCGCCCACGTCGAGGCCTTGGCGGCTTCGCTCGCGGAGGGGCCGGGGTGGCGGGCGGGAACCCCCCCCCTTTTTTTTCCCGCGCACGGCCC